AAGATTAATTATGTTCCCAAAAACCTGCGTAGTTCACGTTAGATGACTTAGGATAGAATGTCTCATTAATAAGAGATGGTAGTAAAAAGGCCGGGGGGTTGGTCTGCCTTCTCTTTTTGTTTTGACTGATCTCAGAAGGAAGGATGACTTCCAGCTCTTGAAGGCTTGCTGCAGTGCTTGCTCCCAGCATGCCCACCCACCCCAAACCTTAACACCTGTCTTTCAAATCTACACTCGTTCCCTGACAGAGCACTCTCCATCCAGGAAAAAGGGAAGCCATTTCTCTCCACTCCTAATAGAGAGAGCGCTAGGTGTGCTGGGAAGCAAGGGGATAGTAGGATTTGAAAAGGATTTTTTTTTTTTTTAAGAGAAGGGGGATGAGACACATTTACTTCTGCAGAATGAAGGCTTTGCAAGCATGAAGAAAACAACAAACTACTGGGATGTGCCAGTCCCTTCAGCAGCCCTGGAGGTCAAACCTTTATACAAAAACAGCCATAGGAAGAGTCTTTCAAATACTTGTTTATACTATCACTTGCACACCACAACCTGTTTTTCTTACAAAACACGTGTACTTATATGATTCTACTTCAAAGCAAAAATTAGTTAATAAGACAAACCCTCCCCCTCTTGCCTCACACAGCCTCAGGCACATTGGACCAGAAAGACAATCAGGAAGTCCCAGAAGACACTGCCCAGGTCAAGGGCACTCCATTTGTACACTGCTGAAAAGTGAAGCAAAACCCTTGTACCAAAGCACTTTGTATTCCCTTGGCTTTTTTAAGGCACACGACCTCTCATGTGTCCGAGTGTGCATGTGTTTCCCAGGGAGAATGCTGCTAGAACTATTGATTTTTGGTAATGTAGCAGTACTTTCTGAGAGTAAACATGCTACAAGATTTAGAGGACAACCACAGACATTTTTTTTGCTCTCTTTTCAAGCTGGCTTCTCACTGATGCTCCTTTGCTCCCTGAGGCTTTCCATAACAGAAGCCACTGGAGAGCAGGTTTGGGGATCACAGCTGAGCCACTGTATGGCCAAGATCTGCCTCAGGCAATGGGGAGGGAGACCCCTCAAACATCATCCTCGGAGACCCCCAAAACATCAGGAGCTGGCTTCCCCTCATGAAAGCATGCTGTGCTCGGGTCCCCAGGGGCTTGGGAAACGATTTCAGAAGACCAAGGCTCTGCTTTCGACTTTCACTTCTATTTATCTTGGGGAGAAGCCAAGCAGAGCTGAGAAAGATATTTATATCTCCCCCCTTTCCCCAGCCACCACGGAAACGCTCTGGTTTCGGAGGAGGCCTGTAGCACTGCTGATGAAATGCCTCCAATAAAAGCATTTTAGCATTTTTTATTCTGGGCCAGGACAGAAGATACCTGGAAGTTGTTATGCTTCATGCACAAATGCTGACAACCCTAACGCTCGTCTCCCTCCTGCCCTTTCCCATGGGTGCCAAGGGCCCACCTTTCTCCAGAAAGGCTGCTAAGAGCACGAAGAGGTGCAGATCAGGAGCAGCGAGGAGGGAGATGGAGGGAGGAAAAACATAATCACCAGCATGGTTACCGAAAGCCGTATCATTTGATTGGAGTGGGACGTGAGGCTCAGCAAAAGCACGGTAATTCTATAAATCCAAAACCACTGAAGGATTTATGTCCCCACTGCTTAAAGAATAGGGTAGGGGGTGGGGATTTTTTTTTTTTTAATTTTATAAATGAAAATGAACCTGATGGAAGTAAAGGTCACCTTATGAAGCCAACACTATACACGCCGTGCAAGCGTGTAAACTTCCAACAAGGGAATAGCACTTACCAGACTAAGTGCCCTCTGTCTCCCAGCTGCCTTCCCAAATTAAATTAGAACCGAATAAGGAAAGAGCGTTGTTAACACCTCTAAGCAAATGTGCCAGAGATGTGCCCTCCTTTTCAAACCACAGGCGAAGGCTCAGAAACTGCATAGTGAGTATGCCTAGAAGGACACAGCATCTCCCATAGGGAGGAACTGGGTGCCTAGTGAGCAGCGCAGCGTCCTCCCAGGAGCAGCATCCCCAGGACATGCAGGGGATGGCAGGGGTTGCAGGTGAAAGCTGTTACCCCTGAGAGAGGGAGTGTACTTATGCATGGGTAACCAATAGTTCATATGTCAGCCTGCAAACTACTGCAGACCCACATGTGCAAGTGCTTCTCCTCCCTGTGCCTTCTGGGGGTCGGGTCCAAGGACACAACTGTGGAGGTAATCATGAAAGTCAAGGTAGCCCTGCGGTAGCTCCGAGAAAGCAAGCTTTTCTCTATTTCTCCCCCAAAAGTAATGTATTCTGAGCCTGGAAAAGCCAGCAGCACACCTGTCATTTCTAACACCCCAGTTTCTCTCATTTAAGGCAATTCTGTTCAGATGTTGGAAACTCTTCTTCCTCTAAGATCCGTTCCCCTCTATTACCTACAAATTACACACCAAGGTCTCCCTTGGGGTGCAGCAATCATTTTCTGAAGGAAGACAGAGGCTGAAGACTTATTTTGGGATAGAAAGAATCACAAATATCAAACCACTCTCTCCTTGCAAACCTGAGCCAAAAATGCTAGTACCAACTTCAGCCCCCAAACCACAACTTCCATATCAAAGGCAGAGCAATGGATGCATCTTTCATACATTTTTTCCGCTTTTACTTAAGCCTGTAAATTAAGTTTTACCAAAACACTGTAGAAACAAATGCAAAGGAGGATGATTCCTCAATGAAGCAGTTAAAATGTGTGTCTAAATGATGTTGTGTTCCTGAGCGCAGGTATTTTGTCAAGCAGCCACCCTTGGGGGCTCGCTTCCCATGGACAACCCTCCCAGAATGAGACAGCACCTTTGTGTTCAAACCTGGAAACAACAGTAATAATACACAGTGCTAATATACGTAAGGACAGCGGCAACGCGTTTCAGCTCCGGTTATGAACAGCGGAGATGCCAACACAAACCAGTGCTTTTAAATCACCTGTCATGGGCTCAACAAGCATAAGAAATATTAACGGATTCGCCTGGAGAGGCACTGGGCAGCAGGAGGACAAAATAAGTCCAGACAAGGGAAGGAAGTAAGAGGTATTTAAAACTTCCTTCACGTAATCTCTGGCTTGCAGTCACACTGCCTGGCCTGGATTTTGCTGCTACCATCAGGATTATTGATCAGCTTTTAAAGCCTTACATCGTCTATGGTAGTCAGCCAAAAAGGACCCTTCCTGAATTAATAAAAAGTCCAAGCAGCTCTGCTGAGAGCCTCAGCGCTCAGAAATGCTGAGGGAACAGCGATTCATTGCAGTGCCTTGCAATTAAAAAATACCACCAAAGAGCAGCATTATCACAGGATAAAATGCATCACAGGATAAAACACACACATAACCCCCAGTCTGCGGGGAGCTCACTTTGTTGTGAACTCCAGCCACAGAAAGCAGTGCCTTAGGGTAGGGGTATTATAGATTAACAGTACAAAACTGTCCCTGGTGAATCAGCACTGCAGGCGAGCAGAGGCATGTAATGTCATTAGCCTGTGACCAATCAGCCTAGGAAACCTGTCTGCTCTCAGCAGGGACCTGGAAGCAGACAGTTTTCCATTTTATGTATCTGGAATGAGCACAGAAATTAACAACTTCTGAAATATGGGAAGGAAGAAGCTCACAGCTCCAGGAACCTATGGCTGCGGCCGAGCTCACTGTCATTCCTGCCGCACAGTCTACACTGAGCATGGGACACCAGCAATCCCTTCTCCTCTGTTTCACCTGGGTTGAAGGTGTTTATCCACCAAAAGATCCCCTCCAGGAAGTCCTACAAACAGGCTGATCACCACTTGTCTCTGCCTCCGTGGCAGAACATGTGCAGGAGGATCACTTCTGACACGCAACCCAGCACTGTGGCTCTGCAAGATCGCACCAGGAATCAGGGTCCAGCAGCAGAGAGCAGAACCGAAAGAGCGCAAATGAGATTAAACTCAAGCTTCGGAGGAGCCGCAGGCTTTACAGCTTCATCTGCTCTGCACACAGTTACAACAGTCACCAACTCACCCAGCAGCATCTGCTACCCCCTGGCATGTCTTGATCAGGAGCAGTGGTGAATGAACGAACAAACTCAGAAAGCTGGGAGGGATGGACAGTCCTTTTCCATGGGAAATCAGCATGCTATGCTGTTGTTATCCCCTTCAGAGAAGCGAAGCAAACAAAATCCCAAGTACCCGCTGACAAGCATGGAGAAAAATTAAGCATCATTTCTGAAGAGTGTCGACATGGAGCAATGAAACCTTTGTTTTCAGACTCTCCACACCTTCCCCTGGATATTCCTGACGGTACTCACAGCAGAGCATGACCCCAACACCCCAAACCCTTCTCGCACTATCTTACACTACATGGGAGGGGAGGGGCTCAGACAGGATCGGACCATGCGCTGTGACTTCTCCAAACGAACATCAGACTATTTTTTCAACTCATAAGGAATGACATATTTGAATTAATGCTTGTATAACACTCCCACAGCTTGGGATAGAAAACATTGCAGAAGAGCAGAAAACAACTGCTCTTCTAAATCATCTGGCTAAAGCACAACTGTGGTACCCATGACAGTCACAGCAGTGAAGGCACTGACTGACAAACTGCTGTGTTACAAAGCTGATGCCAGCATTAAGCAAAAAAGGATTGATAGAGAAAAGGTTACGGATGGCAAAAAAATATGGATGGATTAAAAAATAATAATAAAAAGATATAGAAATGTGAAAGTAACACTCAGAAACACTGATGGACTCTAAGAAGAGTCCGCTGAAGTTCAGCAACCTATCCATTGGAGCCATTCTGACTAACCTCCTTTCCTGCATGAACCACAGCCTCCAATCCTGCTTTTGGGATCCCACCTGCCTGCTTAAGGTGCCTCACTCCTGTGACCTCCCACATAGACCTGTCAGGGCCTCTCAGGTCTGAGCAGCACCTCTGTTCCTCCTTGGCAGGCTGACCTGTGAACACAGTTCAGCAATGGAAAGCTGTTGGCAAGAGGGACCTCAAGGGCCAGCCTGCCTGTGCCCCGTTTTGGCTTTATAGATTTACGCTCCCAACACCTCCCTGTTGACCACCCCAGTGGTCTAGAGAATTCTGTTATCTCCATAGCAAGAAACGTCAGAAACTGTTCCAGTTCCAAGGCTGCAGTATATGCTAGTAGACCTCCTTCTTCCTCATCCTGAGAAATGCACCAAAACCTTTTCCATTTACTATCTAAACACACCCAAACTATGACAGAAAATCCCCAAACCAAATCCCCTGGTGGCTCCCAGAAGATGAGACACAACTGGGCAGTGTGTCAAGATCTGAGAAGTTTGTTCAATTAATAGGTTTTTCCCTTCTATTTTCCACTTCCAAAATATGTTTTCTGAAGCAGTTTGGTGCCAAAAAAGAAATACCTGATTCCTGTATTATTCACTAGGGACACCACTCCATCAATGATTATCTGTCAGAGGTTTAATTGTGCTTGGAAGCTTGCCAGCTGTAATGCATGAGAAGTGTAGGAAAAGCAGGCAGACAGGCACTCATCCAGAAAGGTGGCTCTTTCCAGTGTTCCCCCCCTCTCCAGAAGCAACTGCTTCCTCTTCATGGCTTTTTAAAGGACCACTGGATGGGCATCCAACACCTTCCACTAGTGCATAGGCGTTACAGGATTAAGATGTCATGCAGAGTGGCAGGGCAAGGGTGGAAGAGAGGGCTAGGAAGGGCAGAGAGAAGGTGGTTGTCATCTGGTCCGTCATCACGGGCACACTGCCTGTGCCAAGGCCTCCAGGCATCAAGCCACAAAGCTTGGTGGGTGTATGTAAAAGATTTGTGTTGTTCTGCAAGTGCTCAGCTGGCTCTGGAGTGTCTCCATCACCAGTACAGCATCGAGTCCTTCCATCCAGACAACGCAAGCAACAGCCCTTCCCCTCTTGTTTTCTTCCAACCTCTGGCAGGTTTTAAAAGGTGGCAGCAGAGGCCCTTTCACCTCAGGAAGAAGGAAGAAGGTTTTTACCCTTAAGATGAATAAAACATGCAGACTTCAGGAGGCAGAAAATATGGTCATAAAAGTCCCAACCATCTATCTTTTGGGAGTGCAGCTGATCTGTTATCATTAGCAAAGCACTAACTCCTTTATCATTTGCATTCAGCTTGCTAATTCTGGAGTCATATATATCTGCAAGCTTTGCCACAAATCACCAAGACCTGAAATTACAGACAAGTTAGGTTAGGCATCTTAGGCTAGTACAAGCACAACACAGGATGCAAGTCTGGGGGTATCTCCTCTGTGACACAGAAAAAAGCCTTCCGATTAAACCACCAGTGCCATCCCTTGGAATGCAATAACAATATAACCATCTCTGTCTGGAAAAGTACCACCAGTGTAAGAGAAAGAAACATGTATGTAGTTCAGGGAGGAAGATCCTAGGTGTGCATGATGGGAGGTTTCTTTTTTATGTTTTTATTTTACTGAGCCAAAGTAAATGCAACGTAAATGCCAAGAAGCTTTTTGTACATTCACAAATGTCATCTCATGGGTGTTTTGCATCCATTTCATGTAGTAATCATAAAAGTGACAACCTGAAGAAAGGACCAAAAGAGTTCATTGTCTCCACTGTCCTCTCCTTCCCCAAGGCAGGTGGCGCAAATTGGTGGCAGATCCCGGACTAACATCTCCGCTCCCTCAAAACAACTGGGACCCCCATTTTTCCAGGTCCTTAGAGCAATGCTTCACTACCTTTCCCATTACAAAGATTTTCCTAACACCTAATCTCTTGCTGCAATTTAAGCCCATTATTATGTCCTCCAGAGAACCACTACTTGCCAAAGCTTTCACATGCTTAAAGAGTTTTGCCTATGAGCTATCCTCCTCCTTCCCTTTATTAGCCTCTAAACAATTCTAAGTCTTCCAGCCTCAGCTCCTAGATATTTTCTAGTCCTCTGATTATCATATTGTTGCTTTCTGGGCTCTTTGGCCCATCCATGGTGCCCCAAACTGGACAAATACTTCAGCCAGGGGCTGAGTGCTAAGTGTAGTCAGAGGTTTACTTTACAGACATTTGCCTCTTTATTTCCACAGACTGACTAGCTTGTGCTCTGAAGCAGTCCCCCATAACCCAACCCCCAGTCTGTGAGGCTGGTATTGAGGCAGTTCTCCATCCTGCACTAATGCCACTGCTCCCTCCTGGACCTGCACTTGTTCGCAGCAGCCTGTTTGTTTCTGCCTGATTTCTCAAGATTATTTGGAGCTCTGTTCCCTCCTACTAGTAAGTGCAATTTTCCTGCCTCTCCCTAGCTGGGTTTTCTCTGCAGACCTAAGAGAAGCCTGTTTCATTCATTCTGCCCATAACATCCTTCTGACCTCCATGGTTAGGAAGAGTACGAGGTTTCCAGCTGAGCTCTGCAAAAATGGAAGCAGCCGATCCTTCTTCTGATTGTTGCCATGCAAAACCTCGTATCTTCATGAAACTGGAGCAAAGCCACCTCAGCTGCCAGAGGGTGATGCAGCAGTGGGGAGGGTGACATTCTGTCTAAATTAACATCAGGCCTGGGTTTTGTAAATAAAACTATTTGGGGTCAGGTGCAGCCCTTTGTTCAGTTGAGTTCCTCTCCCTCCATGGTCCCCCTCCTTCATAAATCAAATCTAGTGGTGCTCCTGCCACTTCCACACTGCAAAACCTTCACTTTAACTCACAGTTTTGGGTCCACTCTCCCCTGCCACAAATCTATGAAAATTCATGCACTTGAGGAAATCAAACCCTAGTTGCTATGGCGAGAGTCATTCCGCAAACTAAGAAACAAATACAAGTGGGACATTTGGAGGTTACTGGATTTTTGCACATTTCTGACAAGAATAAAAAAACCCTTCAGAATATGAAAGGCTCTGCTAACTTCCCAGACCCTGCTACACCCCAAACATAAGGGATTTACAGTACTTGCTTAAGGAAATTAATAATTGAGCACTGCAATTCACCAAAGAAATCATCCCCATGGCTCCTAGCACTGCCTATTATAGCAAACGCAGGAACAGTTTTGAAGAGCTGCAGAGATGTCAGGAGGCTCGAGACACATCTGGGAATACTAGGATAAGGAGCTCCCATCAATGTGACTTACTCACTAATCTCACCAAACCACCAAGAGGAAAAGCTCACCTATAGAGGCCAGTAAATTAATTTGGACAGACCCAGGAAATTACCTGGCAGAAGGGTCACGGCACCTTTGGGATGAACTGCCTACTTTTGCTAATCACTGTGTTGATCTGGTTTGATTATTTTTTTTTTTCCCTTAATGTGCTGGATCCCTGTCTTCTGTTAAGGTGCCGCTGTAATTCAGCCCCTGCTAGCTCCACCAAGAAAAACTGTCCTCTTAAGATCAAAGAGGTGATGCTGGTGGCAGAATAGTGATCTCAAGGAAATGAAGAAGCAGGATGCCCACTGTGTGGGAATCATGATCTCCAAAGCACCTCCAAAATGGTTGAGCTGCTGAGCTGGAGGGGACTGCAGTGGTGCAGGCAGCCCTGCATGGAAGGGGCAAGAGGATTCAGAAACATTATAAACCTTGCAGCAAATACCCCCTCTTCCAGCACTCACGGTTCCTGTTAAAATTAGTCAAGACGGGTGTTGAATACCTCTGAAGAAAAAGAGGCTTCTCTCCTTTATGGCAAGGTCACCAAATGGCTCTCTCTCACAGCCGGGCAAGTCAGCATAAACCTTCTGCACTTCCTGCACTACGTACTTCTCAGCATGGCATCTCAGCCTTTCAATACCTCCAACACTGTCTCATCACTCTGCTCCAAGGCCCAAACACTCCAACAAAGATATTTTCCCTCTATTGTCTAGTCTGATTTTTCAAATGCCACTTCAGATTCCTGTTTCACCAAATGCAAATAATGTGAACATGCCTGCTTTTTTTTTTTCTTTTTCCTAAGGAGTATCATTTATAGGAAAGCATTTTCACAGCAACCCCAGTTCAATCTTTTCCCCCCCCAAGACCATACAAATGTCAATCTCCAGTCTCATCTGCTCAACTGTCACATCCTCCCATCCTACTGTTGCTCTAATTGCACACTGCTGAGCCCCTTCATTTGTTTCAACATCCCTCGATAATGGCAGGATCAGAACTGAAGGCAAAAATCCTCTCATCTGCAAAGCAGCATTACAGACTTTCATTTTTGCTTTTGATTCTTCTGTATAACGAGGCAAGGAAAGCACTGGCTTATTTCTGATATAGTGATGTTGCACTACAATCTCTTATTCAGTCTGTTCTCACCCCAGTGGATTTTTGTTCAGTATTTTTAACTCTAAACTTTCCAAGCAGCCACCTCCTGTTAGGTACTTGTTCCAGCTGCCAGTCATACTTAGGATATATACCTTTATCATCTTGCTAAGGATAATAGAATGTTCTTACCCTTTCCAAACACTGAGCAGTCTTGATTGTCTCCTAATGCCAGTTCTCTGTCCCTTTGATTTCACCTGAGCTTAAAAGTACACCAGAAAAAGACTCTGTCTCCTTAAATTCACTAATGAAAGTTACACAGAAAAGGCCTGGGTACCAATGGCTACAGAGCACCAGAAGCACTCCTCAACTGCAAGTGATGTTGGTAATGGTGGCTCTACAAAGGGGAGATGTTAATTTCTTTAGTGCTTGGTGGGTTTGGAGCATTTTGAAGGATTAGGGGATTTATCCATGACAAGATGAACTACTGCATACCACAGGCACTTCACTATTCTTACCCAGCAAGACAGAAATGATAACACAGAACACTACCAGATTTCTCTGCTATGATCGGCTCTTCAGCAGCCCTGCACTATCCCCCTGCTCCAAGTGAAAGCACATACAATCCCATAACTTAATACCCCATATGCAGTCTCAAAAGAGAAGAAACCTCATCGAATTATGGCTTGTCTGACCTAGAAGCCCTCCCAAGCAGTACTGAGAGGTATTCCCAAGAAGTACTCCCAAGAGTCCAGCTGCTCTGCTCCTGCTGCTGGAACAGGGTATTGCAGCATTGGTGTCATTGCCTTGACTGATCCAGTTCCCAGTCTTGCATCCTAGCTTAAAGTCTCCCCTAATGCCCTAAGACATAAGATGTGCAGCTTTCTGCTGTTGTGCCTCAGTAGCTGTTCCTTCAATATTTAATCTTGTAAGCTGCTAATGCACAGATCTGTGCTAAGTTGCAGGGTTCATCTTCTGTACTCAAAATCTGTTTCCTTCTTGTTTGAATGTGGCAAAGGCCGCTCTTATTCCTCAGACCTCTAGTCAAAAATCATTCAATTTTAACCCGTGAGAGTCCAGGTGGTTTTCTCCATACTGTAAGCCCTCCTTGCTTTTTAAAGTACAACAGAAAATGTGGGACAGGCGGTACCTTCACAACGTTTGCATTTTTATTTATTCACTGCAAGCCTTAGTTTTTTTCACTAAGCAAAATAAATAAAAGCCCAGAGGCAGCCAAGTCTCATCTCCGGAGATGCAGGCAGCTGCCCCAGCCACCTCTGTGCCGGCGCTGTGCCACTTGGCCAGCTGCAGCGCAGGGCACACAGCCACTGTCTGGGACATAGGAGGAGGCAAGGCAGAAGGGCTGCCAAATCAGCATCCCTCTGAGGCCCAGCTGCCTGCCCAGCCTCACCCTGCTCTCATGGGATGGAGCTGCTGCTGTCTTTCAACTGTGAATTGCTGCCCCTTCCCTCCACTCTCCAAGAGATGAGCCACTTTCTCTTGACCAGAGATAGATTTTGGTACGTGACTCTTGTCCAAAGGAGTCGATCAGCTAGCCAACTGACCACCCTAAAAGAAATACATAGTGCTCCATATGATGTGGTGCATAAAGCATAACCAGCTTCTTGGGACTAGATTAGACAAGCACAAAGCTAAAGTGTCTAGCACTTTAAGACACAAATCACTCAGCTGTTGGGTCACAATCCCTTGGGCTTTCAGCACCAGCTAGGCCAGGGAGCCTTTCTCATGGATATTCTTCAAGACAGAAGTAACTAAAATGCCCGAATGCAACTCAACCTACAGGATCTATTTTCTGAGCAGTGTGGGAAAATACTGGCCTGCACAGCCATTTATTAGCTCAAAGAGGAGTGTACGTTTAACTCTGCAGAATGGGTAGAACAAAGGATTATTAAATGAAATTCTGATTAGTTCAGCTGAAAGCAAAATACCAGCTGGAGCCTGGGGTAAGGCAGGCATGCTATCAGCAAACATGTGCCGCCAGTGCATCTGCACACACACACCAGACTGGGGAGCCTCAGACGGGAACAGCAGAACCAAGGCTTCTCCATCATGGTCCATGCTCTGATAGCTCAGGTCCTGTTCTCCTCTAGGCAAAGCCTTTGGCACAGCAGTGCTAGTCATAGTGCTGCATAATGGGAAAGAGAATGACAAAATCCAAGTTTTCCAACTTCATGCCCTCCTATCAGTAACCGCGTTTTGTGGGCTTTCCAATTGGGAACACAGCCACTCAACATAGTTATCACAGAGTCACTCTGCCTGGAAACACAGGCATGGCACATGGCTCTACCTATAAGGGGATGGTGCCCACAAGCCACCCTGCCTAACTGCAGCCATATTCATTAACAGCCTATCGTTTAGATCCTATTGCAAAAGTTAATGAAGACACTTTACGAGAGGGCAGCCTCCCTGAGATGAAGATAAATAATGTATATAAAAGAGGGCTGGGAGGGAACTGGCACATCCTTGCAAGGTCATGCTAGAATGCATCAGTGGCTGGCTGAGGCTGGACTCCTCCGGTAAGAAGCCTGGAGCTATTTATGACTCATGTAATTAATTAATGCCAACGGGCGTTCTGCTGCAGGCACGTGGGAGACCAAAGGGAAATATGAAGGGAGCAGGTTAGGAAATGTAATGGAGGTGGGGGAGAAGGATGACATTTCTTGTAGCAAGACATGCTTTGAAGTAATTATCAACAGTCTAAACAGCCAGCAGCTCTTTTGGCAACATCAGTACAAAATCAATTAGGAGCTCTAAAAATGCATTGGCTCATATTTCAGGGAGCATTGAGAATAAGAAGTAGCCATCTGAGGCAGGGCAGCTGCATTTCTAAGCACCACATACTACAAGACCCACGGATCCTCAGACCCCGCAGTGCAGCCCACAAATGGTGTGACCAGTAGAGGGAGTATCATTAATGCTTTCCCAATCATAAATGGATATGACAAGCATTAAGAAAGTCCGACAGTTTGATCTTATGTGTCTCTAAGTCTGAGGACAGGTTTAACAAAAGGAAGAGAAAGAACTAAAGGGCCAAGCTAAATGTGAGTGTAAGCCTTGAAAGCTGAGTCCCTGCAGGCACTCTGGGCTTCTGACATACACCCTCCCCTTCGGGAGCCAGCTTTCTGCCACCAGGAGCTAATCAAAACTCATAGAATACATTAAGAAAGGGACCACCTCTGTGGCTTTCCTGCTTCAGTTTGCAATACTGCAGTCTTACACTGAACACTCAACATGTGGTGACGCTGAGTCATGACACTGCTTGCACAAACTGTTTGAGGACAATGAGAGCTTAACCTAATTTTGTCCCTTTGTTTGTCCTCTGCACAGAGGAGATCAATCAGTTCCACTCCCTGCCTTCACATCCCCATGCATTCAGTGCCTAATACATTATACAGCAAAACTGTAAACCAAATAAAGTGCACTCTTTTCCTCCTCTGGTGCCCTAAAGTCCTTCTGGGTTGTCCAACTCCCACTCAGGCTGCATCCTCTCTCATATCTCTGTTGCCAGAATATTGGTTCCCAAATGTATTCATGCATTGTCCAGTCTCCCTCTTATCATAGCTGCCTGCAACAAACCCCCTCACACAATGAGGACTGCAAATCTGCTTACAGCCCAGCATTGTTTTCCATTTTCTACTCCACTGTACTTCTCTTCTCTCTGGACTCTTGCAGGGGCCAAGCAGCACAGCATCAGTCTGCCACTGCCATCTGGATGGGCAGCAGAGGCTGCCTGAAGTCTCAACCATGGCTAGCAAAGCCTGGGAGGCTGCAGGATGCTCCCCTTTGAGCCTGACCCACCTCTGACCACTGGCAAAGCTGGTGGGACTCCCTACTGCTATCTGCTATTTTTCTGGAGCAAAACCATGCAAATCCATAGTGCAAATCAAAGAAAACAAAACAAAACAAAACAGAGTAAGTGAAATGACAGTCGGTTTTAGTTTCATAAATATATGAGTAGAACAAGAGTAACAAAGTTCTCCTTTCTGGTGGGGTGAGAATTGACATGAGCCTGAGTCTCCAGGCTAAAACATGAGTGAAGTAAATGACAACACGAACAACCAGTTAGCATTTGTGTTACCTACACCTGATCTGAGCCTCACCAGCTTTAAGAACACCCCTGTTAAATACTGTAATGCTCCCAATTAGGAGTGATCTGGATTGTTTATTTTCAAAACAGATTTCTCCCAGCAGTGAGATCTCATAAACCTAAGACAAAAGCAGTCTTGAAGAGGTGTTTCAACCTCTTTTGGCTACACAATATCCACAGCTGGCTTGAATTCCCTAATTGTTTCATACTGACCTTGAGGATATTTCGGCCATTAAATGACTCTCGCTCCTTGAAAGATGATTTACCAGTCATTGTATTGTTTCGCTCTTCAGCTGTAAAGAGAAAAGCAACCACCAGAATGAGCTTCAGATGGGAAAATTGTGTGTGCTGTACTTCAATCCCCACTCTCTCCCTCCCCAAAGTCAGCTGCCAGCTAATAGACCATCTTTGCCCAGTTCTTACTGAAAAAAAAAACACTTCCACTTTGATTTTAAAGAGAACAAGGCTGAATACACAAGAATTGGTACCTTTGTAGGGATCACCTATATTACCTGGAGGAAAGACCCTAAATCACAGCTACTGCTAGGGCGATTCTGTAGGGCTGATGGCTCAGTGCAACACATCTGCTTCTCTCTGGCTGATTTTAATCCCACATCCTGCCAGGGTGAGAGTCAGCATGATGAGTGCTTGCCTCACCTGGAACAGCACCAAATACCAGACTGAGCATGCAAGCAGAATGTCAGGCGCAACCCGGACAGCACCTCTACAAATCTCTGCTGCCTGCTTGCTCTGGGAAGCACATACATGTGGTGTGTGTGCTTCTGCAGGGTGGGCACGCAGCCACACACAGACATTAAGAATAGCAACCTAGGCCTATAGCAACTGCCAAATGCCTACGTCTTAGATCCATTTCCCCACAGCATGTCTGGATTTTTATATAATCCCTAAGTATATGATTTTTTCTTTCAACAGGACCTCTGCCTCAGTCAGTGAATATATGCAGTATTTCTTTTTCATCTCCAGCATTAACTATGAAGTCCACTCACATCTAGCATGCTACTCAAATCCTGTATTGAATATAAAACAACTTCTGTGTAATGCTCTCACCATTGTGTCTGAATGCTTCACATGCCTCATGGGGTTGTTCAGAATATAGACTCATAATGCCCGATGCAGCTGCCCATGTGCTTCCCCTAACAGACACATAAGCACTTTGGGCTCATCATCAGTTTTCAGGGCTCAATTTGAGAGCTAAGCCCCATCTCATCTTTCAGGGTTTCTACTACCTGAATATGATTACCTGACTTCAGTAGCAGTCATCCCCAAAGTCAGCTGCTGGATGTCCAGAAAACCACAACTGGTTTAATAAACCATCTGCTCTTATCGCTGTCCATTCAGAGGCTCAGAGAGTCAGTAACTAAAGAATACCTGACATAGCCTAGTGACATTGCAGAGACCACTGCACCAGAGAAAGCTATAAAAAGCTTTAGCGAAATGCTGTTAAGGCTTGCAAACCGCACACCAGTGCCAGAGCACATGCATGTTTGCAAATGGAGAACAGGGCTGTAATATACTGCCCCTCCCCAAAAGCAATGCATCTGAGGCTGCTGCATCAAGCAATGCAGTAAGAAAGATGCTACAGACTGCTAGAGCAGACAATCTTTTGGCAGAGACAGCAGACACTACACACTCAATAATACCTTATATTCAGCCTCATAACCATTTGAATCTGATTTAATGAGAAGGACACTGGAATCACATTCCTAAACCAATGGGCAATCTAACTTGACCAATGAGGATCACATTTTTTTCTTGTTTAAAAGTCAGCATAGCACATCGATTTGTTACTGAATGTCAGTTTAACATTAGGACACAGAGAGCCCAAAACCTCACATTTTACTTGAGTGCATTCCTCCCTAGCCCAGATTTTATGAGGGCTACTTGCAACAGGTTTTTCAAAGCTATGACGAAGATCCAGAAAATGCTCAAAGCATGCCTGCCTTCTCCAGCTCTACAGATTGCTTTTTGATTTTCCTCTGGGTTTTATCTACTGACATCCCCCCACAGCCTTGTACGTATTCTTGAGATTAAGAAAAATCACAAAATTAAAAGAGCAAACATAAAAGCCAGGAAAAGCATTTCCTGACCAGTGGGACTACTTTAAATGCACTTATCAGTAAGGATGAGGGATACCCACCACTTGGATCTTTCCTGAAGAGAGTGTTCATGACTGTAGCATGCAGTTTCACCCTATCCCACTCTTTAAGCATCAAGCCGGAGGCCACAAACCGCTCCACCAGTTGATCAGCAATCACCTGCAATCTGGGAATGCAAAAAAAGGAAGAACAAAGCCACATAAACCAAGGAGAAACCCTTGAGTCATCAGCTTTCCACTTTTCAGCCAGGGAGGACAGCATGTGTGAAATGAAGTCTGCACACACACACAGGGAAAGGGAGCTAGTCTCTGATGGAAAGTGAACAGAGCCATCAAGGATTCAGTTCTAATGCAGAAAGTTCTGGCTGCTTTGCAAAGCTTCCTCAGTGATTACTTCTGCTACACATATTCCAGGAAGAAGGGAAGATTCAGCACAGCAGAGAGCTTGTTCTCTGTGACAGATGTTATTTGGACTTGAAAGGAGCATCTTCCCACTGCCAAGAAACACAATGTACCTACCCTTGCAAATGCTAAAATCTGCAGACCCCCGGGAGGGGTTTGGGCACCTTGACTCTTGGAGGATGTGCTCTGCCCAAGGACTGTGATCTGTCCAGTGCATTGGGCTGGAGCTCAGACATTCTCTGGCCCACATAAGCAACCCAGTCACTGGGCTTAATTTCTGGGAGAGTCCAGAATGTGATGACAGAAGGCACAAACCCAGACAGCACATCATGGTGAATGCTCCAGCTTTGGAGCTACTGAGCAAGCAGAATCACAGGATTTATTGCCACCTACTTGTCTGGCCTTGGTCAGGGATGAAGTGGCCGTGGCCGCAGGGACCTGCAAGCAAACCTGTCCTAAAATAGCCACCAGGAACAGGCAAGTGATCAGAGCAATGTGCTCTCATGTCCTACGTCTAAAGAGCTGAAGGAATTTCCAGGCTGCTGCTGTCCCCAGCAAAATTTCTGCAGTGCTTCAGCCTTTCCAAAAGCAGCAAGGATGTGGCAGAACAAGAGCAGCCCCCAAAACAGGGGAAGAAGGTATTACTCTATGCAGAAGAATTTGGGCTTCTCTCACCATGTCCAAGGAACTAGACAGCTTTCTGCTCCACCAGGTCTCATCACATTGGCATCTCAGCAGTAGCATGAGAGGCAGAGTGTGGCCTCTTTGAAGCTGGCCCCCAGAGCCTGGGCTGCCATGCTCTGGAAGCCAGTCCTACTCCACCACTGGTTTTGGACTGCTCCTCAGAGGCCAGCCCCCATGTGACAATTTCAAGACTCTCAAACTACCAATTGTCATGGTTTTCTACCATTTTCTGACTTTCCTTCAGTGATTTTTAAAATTAGCAATGACAAAGATTAAATGAATATAATTACAGACAATACTAAAACAAATTAACAGAGAATAGCTCAAGTGGAAATGGTGCTTTATTATGTTATAAAGTTAATCAAAGAAATAAAACAAATTAGAATGAATTATAATGGAAATTATTTGCCATGTGAGAGGCATCAGAGCATGATCCCTCTCTCAGTCTAAGCCATTATATGTGCAGAAGGGCTTGCCAACCCCTAATTCTGTCTGCAGTTATGCAAGCTAAGTCAGGGTAAATCAAATCTCCTGCTTTATAGCTTAAGCTGATCAAGATCATTCAAAGATCAGGAAGGAACTCCACCCCTCAGCCATGCCAGGAACTACACAGAGCTAGCAAGACGCCTTGCATGAGACAGGAAGGCACACACCTCTCTTAAATGCAGACCACAGCAGTCTGAGCCAGCACAGCAAGTCACGTGGCTGCTATTCTCCTTAGTAGTGGTCTTGCAGCTGAGAATCTGTGCTTTCTACCTAATTTCCCCATTTCCCTAGGTAGAGCATAGCAGGTTTTAGCAGGCAAGAGGTGCATGGAGCTGCTCAGCAAGGATCCATCTAGCAGGCCAGAAAACAAAGCAGTTTTCTTGAGGGATCACCATTTGTCCCCTCTTTATAGTCATCGTTTGCCCAATACAGTTTGCTGGAATCCCAAAGGAAGCAGAAGAACCTTACGCTGCTCTCCTACAACAGAAAATATCTTCTTTTCCCTCTGCAAAGCTAAATGCTTACTGGATGCTTGATAACAGTTAAGGAAATACACTAGGGGAGAAGTGCCAGATTAATTAGCTTGCAGATGAGGGTGGGACAGGCCTGGGCCAAAGATAAAAATTTAAAATCACTTGGCCTCTCTGAGCACACTGCTATGCAAAAAGCAAAATTGGTGTTGTGGAAGAGAAGTCTAGCAGCTTGCAGGTGCCATGCAAACCAGATGTGGATTTGGTCAAAACCTCAGCTAATAGATCTTTGTGAAAGATAGAGGAGACATCAGCCCTTTCCTGGGGCTGGGGGCAGGGGGGTAGCTTTCAATTTCAAGGCGAGATGGATTTAAATAGGTTATTTCTCTCCTCTGCCAAAAGCACCTCTGCAACCCCTAATGCACGTCATCGCATTCTCTTAGCATTATGGGATGCTAATTATTCATTATGGGCTACATGGAGTCTCAGCAAAACAGATATGGCTGGCATCTGAAGCAGACAAGACCACAGTGCTACTGCCAACAATCCAAGCTGTCTCCAGACACCAGCAGACATCACTGTCCACTTTAGGCCCAATTTACGCTCTACAGGATTTCTCTAGCAGCTCCTCAGGTCATAGACTTATTTTCACATGCAAGCAGACTCACAAACACTGCACCTCAGACTACCTGGAGCATGGTGACTCATGAGAAAAGAGGCCCATACCTCAGCTCTCAGAGCTGACACTTAGGATACTTTCTATAACATATCCACTGAAGGGCACGTTGGTCATTCAATGGTCAATGCCTCTGTCTCATCTTTCTGAGTGCTTCTGCTTTCTCCCTGCACTTCTGTCTCCTGGCTGCTCTATAGCTTGTCCTGGTTCTCCACCTGCCCCATTTGTTTTACCTCACCTCTTTCAGGGCAGTACAGACTTCGAAGTGGAAGAGCCAAGAAGAGGAAAAGATTTCAATTTCTACTGCCTCCCACCAATTCTTACATTTTCATTTTCCCACCCATTTCCTTATCCCACTTCCGATCTCTTACTTCAACACAGACTCCAAAGTGCAGTTTTAAGCAGGGGCCCCCTCTTGTCTCCTTAGCCCTCGGGGAAAGGAGATGCTAGAACATGTCCCTTTTCCCCTGAGCCAGTGCTTGCTCACAGCCTCCCTCCTCCAGCTGCACTGCTCCGTACTCCTCTGCTCGCTCCTGCTGTCTTCTAGCAACAAGAACAAAAGGGCAGCACTGCCAGAAAAAAGAGAAGGCTAAGGCTCAGAGAGAGAAGGCTAAAGCTCTTTTGGCTATTTCCCTACCCTCTTTCTCATCTACCTCACAGCTGGCAGCACAGAATACAACAGCTCGTGTTTCCCCAGTCTTCCAGAGAACACTAGCAGAAAAGATGGTGCTGCCACTGGTGACATACTTGTAAAAAATGAGATTGAGGAAGGTTGTTTAGATACCGCCACATCCCAGGCGCTGCTGTTTGTAAAGTTAAAACCATCAGCCACAGTGGCAAACAACATAAACACATGACTGACACCAATCAGGCATAAAGATTTTACATCAGTAGCTCAGAAGACAGATTCCAGGCTACTTACAGATACAAAAATCAACTCTGTAACCAAGTCGTGCTTCACTGAGGACCTTCTGATATAACTGGGTTTTAAGAATAATTAAGTGTTGCAGAATACACCAGGCTGTCCAGATTAATCTGGACTGCAGTTTGGGAACAGCAGACATCAAGTTGTCCTGCCTTCTAAGTCATCTCAGGAGTATCTCCTTGGCCATCTTATCACCTCATGAGCCATGACACCATCATTCAACCTGTCAGACTGCTACAGAAACAAATGACATCTTTCAGCTTCACCACCAGTGACTGATTTAAAGAGCAAACACATCAGTGCCTTAACCGGTTTAGGAAGCAAGAATGACTTCATCTTCCCGACTACCAGCCCAAGAAGGAGGAAAGACAGAAAGAAGCATGAGGAACTCACCTGTCCGAGCCATCCTTCATGTGGACTTTGGCATAAAGGACGTCTGTCATGGCAGGGTCATCGTTCATGTACTCCACTCCTACCACTTCCACAGTCAAGGGCTTGCCTCCAGCAATTTGGCTAAAATGCGACAAATCCGTGATGTTAAAAACCAAAACATCACACACGCTTTTGAAATATGATGCACACACCAAGTATTTGTTTTTACTAGGAGAATGATACAAAATATATTTTTTGCTATAGTTAAATAAATTTGAGGTTAAGTGGGACTTAAATGTTATACAGACCCCATGCGGCAGTGAGGTCCAGCAAGGTGTTTTTCTCTTTTCCAAATCACTGAAAAAAAAACCACAAACACAACACACACAAAAAAGGCTCCCTAACTTCTAAAGCTTGAAAGGCTACAGGTGCTATTGTCTCACCATCACAAGAAATACTGTAGAAACACTTGAATTCATACATTCAGTGTTTTAGACACACATTAAGTCAACTTGTCAGTATTCACAGGCCACCTCAGTGCAGAGATCTCCATTTACATTTCAGAAAACCCATCAGCAGTTAAATGGTACAAGTTCTCATTCCAGAGAAGCTCCTGCCTTCCCCATGAAGAGAGTGATTGTGATAGTGACACAAAGTCTCCAGCTTGTTGATTTTCACTGGAAAATGTACTCAATACAGAATGCAGTTTTAAGTACATCTCAACATCCACTTACAAATGCCGGAAGTAAATGGAGCTCCAGCTACTCTTGCAGAAAAGCTAAACTGAAAATGCATGCAGGATATAATACACACTCCCACACCTGCAAACACACTGTGAAGTCTATCTTGCTTCCAAACATGCTGCGTCCCTGCCTTTACCACCAGAACATCACAGGGAGGTAGGGAGCTGCAGTAAAAGCTCCTTGTAAGTAAGTGTCGACGTCTCTAATACTGAGGTCTCAGTACAGGGAGTGTATGGACAGGCAGAAGCAATAAACAGGAGTTAACAACGTGAGCATGACTTTGCTGTAACCTTGCTCATTTCTATTCAGCTTGCCCAAGAGACTGCCTTTGAGATTTTCTGAAAAGCTTCCCTGGTGCAATAAGGAGATTGTGATTTCCCCTTCCAGTATGTGTACTGGGAGGAAAAGAGCATAAGTGTATTGTCCTGCACATCAAAACCAGAGCACTAAAGGCCACGTATTATACAAAGAGTCAAAGAGTGCACATCCATGTTCACATAGTGCTGCCTGCATTTAGAAAAGTAAATAAATGCTAATAAAGGTTTATATGGGAGGAAGAGAGCCTAAGTTAATTTTCAAAACATATTTCTTTGGGTGTGGCAGTGGAAATAACCTAAGGGTTACATTCAAGTGTTGATTCCCCTCCACTAAAGAGAATGGAGAATAAAGATTTTCTCTGCCTCAGTTCAACCCACTTACAAGGAAGCTGGTGTCTTCCAAGTACTGTGGGCAGAGCCTTCCCCTGGAAACACACTTGCATTTCTGTTCAATACCTGAACTGGAGCTGTTGTTTTAAAGGCAGAGGTATGAATTTTGGCCATGCATTAATTCGCACAGGTATTAGCTGGCACAGCATGGCTAACTCTTCACACACCAAGGCAATAAATAAACAAATAGCAAGGATCTGTGCTCTATGTGCAAAGGTGTTGCAGAATCCCTCAGGCCATCTCCAATTTCTAAGCTAAACAGAGATAAGCTAATTACAGTGTCATTCAACCACGTTTACAGTTAAAGCCCTAACATTGGCAGCTCAGTGTTAACAGGCTTTGAGAAAGCCTCAGTCCTGGAGCAGCACTGAATGCTTCAGACTGATTACTTGCATGGCTTATGCTGGCTTCCCTGCACACAGCTCCCTGTATCAAGAAATGCATGTCAAGGACACCTCAGCATCTGCTCTTAGGCAGGAGGGAAGCATCATGCCAGAGCTCACTGCAGGCAAGATGCAAAGGTAATGCAGCTCGTCTCTCCCTCTGCAGCAGGTAAAGGACAACAGCAAAAATTGCTCAGAAAAAATTAACAGGGAAACATGTGAGAAAAAGAAATGCGAAGAGAAGGCCTTATGCTGAGGGCCTGAGCTGAGCTGCAAGGTGCTATTAAACTCTTTGTGACTGCTTGGTGATTTCTACTGCTCCCATTTGAAATGTTTTAGCCTTTTTCTAGACTTCTAGAGTTGAGATAGGCTATTGAGCAGCTTATCTCTTTGCTGTCCCTTGTCAAAGACAGCCTGCTGCTTTCCCCCCACTCAAGTACTTGGTGATGACAAGCCTTTTTTATCACTTACTCCACAAAGTCCTCTTTGCATTGCTGTAGGAGGTCACATGCTTTCTGGATCTCTTGTTCATTCAGAAGTACCAGCGTCCCAAGAGTCAGATGAAGCTTAGAAGGGTTCTGGAACAGGCTGCTGCTGACCCCGTGATCCTATAAATCAGTCCATATATATAGGTGTCTTATCATACACGCACACACCTTCCATCAGGGGGAAAAATACTACAGACAACAGGTACCAAGCCATTAGCACCAAACCTTTTATCTCTGCATCACTGGTCGGGTTGGTAGTGGCTCAAAGTTGAAATGAGAAACAAAATTTCACAGGCTTTGTGAGCCAGTAAGCTCAGGCTGGCAGGTAAGTGCAGCCCCCCACCACACACACACTCCCTGCCTGCCTTTTCATCAGAGCTGCTGAACAGCAGCCTGGAAGCTCGTTATGACAGGCTCTAACTCAGGGCCCAGAACAGCAGCACTTGCTCATATGGGGTTTCGAGAGGAGACTTCCACAGCTGTCAAAGTGGCAGCTGCCATCAGCAGTGAACTCAACACAAGTCAGCACAGATTTAAAACTTGAGTTAAGCTCATTTTTTGTGCAATAAAGCTGGAACCAGCTGTAGTGACAAGCTCTAAATGGTCTCTAAATCCTGTCTAAACACAGGTTGCACCTCACAACACAAGCACAGCTAATACCAGCTCTGATAATTACATTTTTCTTGTTCCCATGTGCCCTATAGTTTGCTGAGATGAATTAAATTTAAATTCCCTTTATAAGAAGTGCTACGTGTTGTTGCTGGGGAAGAACTGTTCCCAGGTGGAGCAGTGGTTACATTCAGCTTTAAGAGACATGCTCTTTTGTTCTAGGATGTTTATAAAAATACCTGGAGGATGGTTAACACACCCATATTAAAACAATTATTTCCACTTAGTGGCCATTTCCCATCAGTGCATTAAATAAACTCCACTTTTAACTCCAGGTGAAGCTAACTTGCCAGGCCACTGAAGCCCTTCTTTGTCTGATAAAAGTCCACTGACTGAGAAGGACAGCTTTGAAGTTTCTAGTTGTGCTTCAGTTTGAAATAAAACCTTTCAGATGTTTAAACACTGCCGTATCTCAACCCATCAGAGTTTAATGCCCCACATGTTGCTTGGTATTTTTCATGTTTAATGACAACATCTATATCCTTCTTTACAGCTGTGCTTGTGGGCTGAACTAGAAACAAGCCAGCCTGCAAGAGAGAGGTCTGGGTCTTGCCCCAGCCGTCACAGACTGGCAAACTATGGTGGTCCCCAGAAGAGGGAGAGCATGTACATGCCTTCCACAGCTGCTAATTACTGCTGACTGAAACCCCAAATCATACCATGCTAGTAGTGGCAAAGGATGTTGCAAACCTCAGCACTGTGCAGCAGCATGACACAAGCAGAGACTATGTCAGGCACATTAGGAGCAGAAGAAGGAGGGACAGCTCCTTCTCACTTCTCCCCACCTTCCCCTCTCTGTGGTAAAAGCCTTGCGGCTTCCTTTAATTCATCCTGCTGTTAGTTAACATGCATGACAGGACATGATTCCTCTCCATCAGCCTTTTTTTCTCCAATGGTATCCATAGCCAGAGAATATTTGGCCCATCTCAAAACAATAGCTTGGGTAACAGAAACTGGGAGAAAGTTCGATTTATCCTTGCCAAGGATAATCAGACAGTGTCACTCCCACAGTGTGCACAGATGATGTACAGTAATGAGAAAGTAGTCCACAGGTCAGAAAGCAAAAGTCCTACCCTCATTTTCTGCCCCAGCATGATCTGTACTGCAAATATCAACCTGTCCCAAAAGCAGCATTTTCCCCTGAGCTTTCCAGCACCCGAGTGTGGGCTGATAGCTGACAAATTGACGGCATGTCATCTCCACATGCCACGCTACCACTGCTAGGAAGATCAGCAGGGAAGAGCAGTACACAGTGAGCAGACCAAGATCTAGATAATATTGGTTTACCCCCTAGTATTTCAGACAGCTCCTAAAAACCTGCTTACAGCCCTACTCTTTCACAGGCCAGCAGATCCCACTTCTCCCACACATAAAATAGATGCTATGTCAGATGTAGCTCTCCGTGGAACAGGCAATGTTTCTGCAGGCATCTGAGAAGCCCTTCATGGCTGGATGCTGCTCAGCAAGATGCAAGAAAGCTTGAACCCACTTATTCAAATCCCAGATGATGATATGCTATCAACAACCACTGCGTTGCCTTATGGGAAGCTGCCCTGTCCAGTGGTATCAGTCCTCTGCAACCTGACCAACAGCGCCAGACAACAGCAACGCAGAGCCTAGAAATATATTTTCATAACTCCTGTTAAGGAAAATCACATCCTCCCCCAGGAAGAACAAGACCAAGAGATGTGATCCTGTCAATGTTGTGATTTATGGACATCTTCCAAATACTTAAGGAACCCTTTCAAGGTAACCTACAACCACAAAAGCAGGAGTGAGGAGTGAGATTCACCATCAGAGATGGACAGAGATCCGCTGGCATCTAAGACATGCTCTCCAAGTGCCCCTAGGTGACAAGTTCCTCTTTCACCAGTTTCCTCCCCCATACAATGGAAGGTGGGCACTCCTCATAGCACAAGTCAGTGGCTTGTGACAAGCAGTGGCTTCCTGCCTTAATGAAAGCAGAGCACGAGATCAGGGGAGGGGAGGTGTCACAGCAGAGAATCCCCGTATTCTACAGGGGAACCTGAAAGCAGCATATTTGAGGGTACTCGCTGGCAGATACAAACACATAAACCAGACTCTACCATCTCTCTAAATGTTTGCTGTTCAAACTTAGGTTCTCTAAGGGTGTATTGAGAGACAAGGAGAACACCCACTTTACATACTATCTGTACACGATGACTGTCCATTTTACCTTATTCCTCTTCTCTTACATTGCCTGGTCATGGTCAAAAAGTTACAACTCATTTCCACTCAGCCTTAGAAATCAATTTTTTTACTTCCTCCTGCTACTTTGACTTCTACTTTTGCTCTCCTCCTTTAGAAGAAACATAGGAAGCATTTTATCTGGAGTCTTCACCTTTCTTTGCAAAGCCCAAGCACATTGTTCCTCCAAATCTAAAGCCCTGTAGAAGGGAAACCATAGACCAAAACACACTTCAGTGGTTCTACAAGACAAGGCAAAGAATTAATCTTAGCTTTTCCTTCCTGGTTGTGTCTTGTCTACTGTCTTAAGAGCTTCCAGTGTGTCCTGGGTTCAGCAGTAGCAGTCATTTTTCTCCTTCTTAGTAGCTGGTGCAGTGCTGTGCTTTTGCCTTTCCACCTGGGAACAACACTGATAACACCGATGGTTTTAGTTGTTGCTAAGTAATGTTTACTCTGACCAAGGACTTTCTGAGTCTCATGCTCTGCCAGGGAGGAGGGGAAGACGGGAGGAAGCAGAGACAGGACACCTGACCCAAACTAGCCAAAGAGGTATTCCATACCACAGCACGTCATGCCCAGTATATAAACTGGGGTGAGTTACCCAAAAGGCCCAGATCACTGCTCAGGTCGGGCTGGGTATTGGTCAGTAGGTGGTGAGTGGTTGTATTCTCTCCCCTTGTTATTTCCCTTATCATTATTATTGGTGGTGGTAGCAGTAGTGGTTTGCGTTATACCTTAGTTACTGGACTGTTCTTATCTCAACCTGTGGGAGTTACATTCTTTCCATTCTCCTCCCCATCCCTCCGGGAGCAGGGCGAGGAAAAAGTGGGGGAGTGAGCCAGCGGCTGCATGGTTCTGAGTTACCAGCTGGGCTTAAACCATGACACAGTGTTTGCAGACAGGTTTATGTTTTCGAGGCTTTTTTTTCTTAGTAGCAGGATACTGCATACCAGCTATATGCCCTCTCCCACCCTGACCCACAAGCAAAGAGGAAGCCAGATAAACAGCATTTCCTCAGAACTGACTGAAGAGCTATAGGCTGAGAAAACCCTCCCATTTTCAGTCCCTTCCACTCTGAGATATATTATCTCATTAGCAGTGTTTGATATTTACAGGTTGCCATATATTACAGCAATCGTATTTCTTCTCCCTGCTACATTGTTGAGCCTGTTGAAACTGTAAATGCTGCATTTGCACAGCTCTGAAAGATCCAACTGTGATTTTTCACAACAATATTACTGCAAAGTATTTTCCCTTTTCCACTTGCATACTCAGACATTTCAGTTTTCTTCACTCTGACACCTACATGACTGTAAAAGGAGACTTCCAAGGTCACCCAGTCGTCTGGACTTCCCACTGCACCACATCAAGTAATGAGCCTGCCCAGGTGAGCCACCTCTCCATATCTGTATTAAATTAGCCTCAAAAGAGCCTCCCCTCAGCCCTGCTTCATTGCCTCACCTGGCAGCCCTGATCATACAGTAACGTGAATGACACCTGAAGTTTTCCATATTTCAACCAAGGTTTATCTTATAAAAGGTCTTGAAGACACACATGAAAAAAAAACTAGAAAGCACATGCCCACCAACATAACCCTATGATTTAAAATATAAATGAATGGTTGTCATGGTAACTGCTTCAGAGAGAAATAGAGTCCCTCACAAATGCTCAAAGGCCGGAAGAAATCCTCATACATGCACATCTGGTCCTTTCCCTTCCTTACCCTTATTACCAAGCTTCAAAGGCTGAAGTTTACCTAATTCTGCAATGTTTCACACCAGTAAATTGCAAGAGAAGCACACCACTTCTGTCACTGAAACCTATTCAGATTTCACCAAGTATCCTGCAAAATCCCATTGCTTTGCACAAATCTATAAGCTCTCTTATTGCTCTGTGAGGCACCATTATGAATTACTGTTTTTCATTACTGATGTGCTTTCCAGCAGACCCTGCTGTGAGATAAAGTGGTATTAGAGTGGCATTACCGGCTGGTGGAGTGATTGAGAGACATAGGGGGCTGCAAGATACTCCTTGAACTAACAGACGGCAATAGATCTACAAGCCCTTTTGCTAATACCAGGAGAAGGAAGAGCAGAAAAAGAAAGCACCATATATTCCTAGGCTGTAAATATGCAAACAACCAAATACCTGTTACTGTTCGAATCCTACATTTCAAACTAAAAATGAAAACTCTAGATCTGATGTAAGCTGTACCAGGAACATTTCAGGCCCTCCTGAGAGGTTAACACAACCACATACCTTCCAGGTCAGGGAACCTAGCACCCATGCAGTGTGGAGAGGAGGAACTACATTCCCAGACCTTCTGCCTCCACCCATGTAGATGTGTCTTGCTATAGGGCAGCTTCAGCTGCCACAATTCTGGAAGAGTCTCAAAAGCACCTTGATGACTCGGCTGGTGCAAAAGGCATGCCATGTCTTAAGTGCCACACTCTCTCAGAAATACTGATGTTACTGGTATTAGGAAGAGTCACACCTGGGTGCTGGTTCTAAGTACAGTTCAAGCCTGAGGTCTGAAAGGCAGAAGTAACTGTTAAGTTGAATTGTGTTTCCATGGGCACATCCATGCTGCAGGATCCCTGACCGTGAAGCAGAGCCTTATAGTACCCCGTGAGAAGGTCAGGCAAGAGGAGGAAAACTTAACATGACTAGCCTGGTTAGCAGTGGTCTCAGCACTCCTCTGACCACGTCTTGGTTTCTGTAGCTTTCTAAGACCAGGAACATGTGAAGGTTTGCAGATGCTCCCAGGCAGCTTCTTCTGAATGAAACTGACAACACTGGGGAAAGCACCAAGATAAATGTTTCAAAGCGGATGGCAAACTCCATGCCTACTCAGGGATGCAAACTGATACCAAAGAGTGAGCAAGAGGCAAACAATGTGACAGAGACAGATGAGGAGAGGTTGGAAGAACAAGTAAGGTGACCAACTAAGTCTGGGCCAATGGAGGTCTGCAGAGATGCAACCAAATGAACAAGCCTGAAAGATGAGTGCTCTTCAAGGAGAAGAGCTAGTCCTGTGTGAGGCCAGTGTGTTGTAGGATTAAAGAAACAGGATGAGAGCACAAACAACAGCATTAGCTGAAAAGATGAATAAAAGAGGCCACATCTAAAATGTGACATCTAAGATGTGACACTGGAAGGATTTGTTTGACAACCAAGGCAGCCTGGAAGCCAGAACCCAGCAAAGCATAGGGGATAACACTGAGGTTACCACCCTGAACAGCAGACAGGTCTGGGTTTGCCGTGGAAGGGAGAGACCCACAAGACCTGGTGGCAGAAAGCTAGAGGAGGATCAGATAAGCAGAGTCCTGAACACCAAGGCTTCAAGCAGAGCAGGGCCAGATCTCAAGGGAGATCAAGTGATAGGACTTTAACAGCCATAAGCCTAAGCAGAAGGGGATAAAGGACAAGAGAAACACCAGACTGAAAGCAATGGTCTTAGCCCACCGCCAACAGCATGAACAGCCGTGACTAGAGCCCTGTGCTGAAGTTACCAGCCCGCAAAGAGCCATTTCTCTCTGCATAACTTTGATGTGTCCCACACAAGGACTGGAACTAGGAACCAACAGAGGGAGCCAGGCCACCACTGATGGCCAGGCCCCACCCAAGGTCGGGCACTCTCTCCAGCCAACATTTTCTCAGCCTAACGTTTCCATCCCCTTATCTGCAAGGCTTTCCTTTGATAAAGTAAGCTTTAATAAATGTAGCTGCCACTGGCTAACTGGGATAGATGATCAAGCCTAGCCCAAGGAAAGAGTGCTTGTGGCACTGCACTGTTTGGTAATCCCTGGATATATTGGCCAATTTCAGCTGTATCTAACATCAGGTGGAAACCTGAGTGATAGAAAGCTCCTAAAATGTCATGGAAACAGGCAGCTGGGCAGAGAGGGACTTAGAACTGCCAGGAAAGACAAGACTGTGAAGACAGCTCAGTTCTGCTCTTGGAGATGAGAAAACTGACATGCAAGTGACCACGAAAACTTGAGCAAGAACTTGTATCTCTCCAGATACCAGATAATTCACACCCACAGCATGCACAGGAAACTAAACTTAAGCTGTGACAGCTGCAAGACTGTATTTTCCCTTTTGAAGGGCATAAGCAGAAGTGACAGACATGAATGTAAGAATATCAGCCCCCGAAATCCTGCTGCTTGTAAACAATCTAACCTATGGTCGCCACAAAGAGGAACTCTTTTCTTTAGCTTAGAGATGTCCTCCCAGCAGACTCAGAGGATACAGTAATTTAATACCACTACCTCCCCTCAGCCTGGGCCTGTGCATTGACATACCACTTCTGCCAAGCTAGAAGCATGCTAAAATAAACCAGGGAATACACAGCTTTCACTTCATTCTGTTCCTCTTTTCTCTATGCTTAAGTATTTCCTGCTGCCCTCAGTGATCTGAAGGTAAGTAGGAGGGACTGTCAGCACGAAGTCTCTTGGGGAAGAAGGGAAGCAATTAGATTTGCAGGATGGCATGTGCTACCAAGTAATTTCTTGCTCAGCTCTGGTAATGACACTCATCTTCCCTTACTGTCAGTAACCAGAAGAAAAGTGAAATAGAAGCAGCAGCAAACTTGTGAATTCCTACCTGGTTTCATGGTTACGTAGAAATCACATAAAACATAGAGAGGTCCACTACATTATTTAGTAGCTTTCCTATTAAAACCAAAAAACCCCAACACTCTTTTGAATCTTAGATATCTTCTCACCTAGGAAAATCTCTAAGGAGAGCAAAGTATTTTACTAACAATTTGCTAAGTAAGCCATTCCACTTTCCATAAGATTTCACAACAGCACTGATCTAATTCACAGCAGATCCACCAACTTAAATAAAAGGCCTGTTAAAAATACATTCAGGAAACAGAGCAGAATAAGGCCTTCAAGGTAAATGCTAAAAAGCTATCTCAATAAATTAAATGGCAGTCTGCTGAAGGGCTCCCACTTGATTTTGTGGATCCTTACCTTTGAGCATTTCTCCAACACCTCTTCCTTGAACTGCAGGAACTTCTCCTGGATGGTGGGCTGGTTGAGAGCCAAAGACAGGAAGTGTGTGAAGGGCTGCTTCTTACGGAAGCTGTCCAGGAGAACATCAATCCGCGTTCGGGCAGAGATGACACCACTGCGATGCTGCCCAGTAATCACTACAAGGAAACAAAGCAGCACCTGTCATTTCTGTGAAGCTACAGTGAAACTCCTGATACCAATGCCCATGCAAGATAGAGAGTAATTAAATGGACTGTGATTTTACATTATACTTATCCATGCACTTTAAAATATCAATATTGGAGGATATTGTGAAGGTAGGAACATTTCACCCAGGCGATGCCAGGAAGGAATCAGAAAAGCCTGCACAGCAGCACCTCCCCAGTGTTAGCCCCAGGCTCACTGAAGAAGCATTAGGAATTAAACCCCCAAACCATGCACAGAGAAATCTTGCCAGACTGCCTGCTTGACTTAAAATGCCTGACATGGCTATGTTTTCCTCTGTACAGACAGGACGATGCCATCAAAAGTATCCCTCTGCTCTCAAGAAAGTCAGCTCCGAGTGCCTAAAAAAACAATAACTAGGAGTCTATCATTTCAGCATCTCTTCAGATTTCTAGGGCATTATTTCAAGTTTTCAGAAAGGCAGTCGAAGTGAAAAAGAAAATCTATTAAAGATCAAGATGGCCTCTATCGTCTGTGCATGCACTTCAAGGCACCAAACAGAGAACACTTGAGCTTGAAAGGAAAAAACTGCAAGGAGCAAAATTTTCTTGGCTTCCTGTTATTACATGTTTTCAATGTCTCTCAACCTTCCTAATAGTCCTTCACAGTTCTCAGGAAGAATTCAAGATACACTTGTTAAGAAGTATTGCCACGTTCCTGTGCAGCACCACAGTTGGATCCCCCTCGGTCACTTTTTCCTCACAACTCTGTCATGAACGTAACTCTACAGCATGCCATTTATCACCAGGGTGTGCGTAATGGCCCTTCCAGAGAGCCACTCAGGCAGAAACCCGCACAGGCCAGCCCTGAAGAGCAATGCCTTCTTTCTTTTTAAGTCACTGGAAGTGATGAGAAGGAACATATGGTACCAGAAAGCCTGCTCTCACTATCAGGATCAAGTGACTACACCAGAAAGGCAGCAACGTCATTGAACACTTCTCATATTAAAGCAGATGCTGAAGTTTATTTTGTGCATAAGTATACAACATGGTAACTTTTTCTGGATGGGTATTACAGTTTCTTATTAATGGAAATGGTATTTTCAAAACAAAACAAAAAATCCAACACATTCAGGCCCAAAGTTCTCAAGCCAGTCATTTGAGGCCCAGAATTTACTTCAATGAGACTATTCATAGGTTTAAAATAGATCTTTTTTTTCCAAAAAAAAAACCCTTACACTGCTTTATAAGGATTTACAGACAAGAAAAAAATAAACTCAGGAGAAAAGTGAAGTGATTTTCCCATGGCCATAAAGTGAGTCAGTGCCATGTCACAAGCAGGAATTAAACGAAAAACATCTCTTGTGCCTCCTCCCTGCTAAAATTGCATATGCGCAAGAGCTGATGAGAGAACCCCCATTTTGTGCATGTTAAACTCACCAATTTCTCCTTCCACTCCAAGCTTGGGAATGCTGATGGAGGTTCGAGTCTCTGCTTCTAGTCTTTTCTTGGTTTCCCCTTTCTTCCCGATGATGTACCTGAGGCATAAAAGTGCAAGAGAGTCACTCATACAGTGTCGCTGGGCCACTCTCCATCAAGTGTGTCCAGCCATGCACAGATGAACCTCGCTTTGAAGCTGGCTCCAGGCAACTGGGTTCCCCAACACTAGGGATCTCCATGCTGGAGGGATGAATGCACACAGCTCCATGAGCAGGACTCGGTGCAGGTATAAAGGCTGCTCCCAAGATGCTGCATGTGACCAGCCTAGAACCAAGGGACAATGTGGAGCTGTGGCTCACAACTAGCTTAAACTAAAATAAGTCAGCTGTCCATGACAGCTCTTCCCAGCACATCCTGCCACAGCTTATTTGTCTGCTGGGTTATCCCTTTTTCCCATTACCCCAGCTGATGAAGAACTAAGGGCTCTTTTTCTGCTTTTTGCTTTGCTCAAGTATCCAAACACACAACAGAACATTTTTGCTTTCCTATATTGCAGTAAAACTATTCAACCAATAAAACTGTCAAAATAACTAGATAAAGCTTTGAACACTACAGGCGTCCCAGGAAACATCAGATTGGAGTGAACAGTCAACTCCAGTCGTGTGTGCTTTCTCTCAAAGCTTTCACAAATTCCCCCTGCCTGGCTGCTGGCCCCAGTTCTTCCTCTGCTTCTCCCACCCTCCCTGATGCTTTTATGTTCAAGGGAAGAGAAGCTCAAAAACCCTTCTGCCAGCAAGAAAGCACCACCTGCTGTCTCTGTCACAGGAAAGGCTAGGACTCAAGCATGGCACAACTGTACTAGAAAGGCATTGCCAATTTTCCCTTCCCAAAAGCTAAAATCCACATCCACATAACGTAATACGCTTCAGAGATCCGGTCCTTACACCAACCTCAAAAAAAATTATTCTGCACTCAACCACTTCCTCAGCTGGCGGAAACGCAAATAAACCAGAAACACACAGGCTCACTTGTATAACAGGCTGGGAACCTCCAGTCTGCACTGGAAGCCTTTCTCAGTCTCTTCCACCACAAAGACATCACAGGGCTCATCTGCACAGTCACCAGGGCCTAACAGAAAAAAACAACAGACCTAGTACAACCTTTGTGAAGTTTGGCAGCACTTTATGTAGGACAGTAGTCTCACAGGCTTCTTTTTCCAAGGTTAACTAAAGGAAGAAATGGACTCCTCTCTATTGCGGCTAACTGCTTTTTATTTCACCTTACTACCAGCTCCAGAAAACATAATGACTACTTCTAAATCCACCGCACTGGGAGGTGTAGGAAAGTGATAGTTACAGCCCAGGTTTTCTCTCAGGTGGAAGTTGTGCAACTACCCAGTGAAAATGGTCTCTGCTGGCAGGGTGGAAGCTGCCAGCCCATTCAGAGACCTGAATAGGAATTTAAAGTCACAGAAGAATACAAATAGAAGGTGAGGATAGTTTTGGTTCAAGGGTACAGGTATAGTGTTTTGGAAATCAGTTCTCATACCTTCGGCATGGAAGATCCACACAGCCAATCTGTTTTCCTCTTTTACTAGAAATCTTTCACAGCCAGCAAGAAACCTGACAGTCAGCAGCAAGTCACCCAATCCGCATTAAGTAACTGGGATTATGTCCATTTTGGTCAACAGGATCATCAGGGACCAATACAAAGCATTTTTCTCCCTCTCAAACACTTTGCTTCATCACATGGGCAGGTCTTTGTGCACGTAAAGACATCAGAGATGACACCAAGAGCTCCCTAGATCCCCAGTGTCAATGCTTTCACCTGTAACATGTCCTGACAGCACCACAGTCACCGTTCAAGCCCCACTCTTTACCTGCACAGAAATCATCCTCCTCTTCATGCTGGTAGGCCTGCTCTTGAATGGCATTCTTCCTATACACCCGCCCCTCAATCCTTATCAGGGTGGGCCGCAGAACGTCCATCCTGCTCCTCCTCCTAATGCAGAAACATAGACAGCTTTACTAACATATGCCAACAAAAGGTAAATTTCACTGTTTCCTCAAGCATAATTTGTAAGAGACATCAGGGGAGCTCTGAGGGGCTCAGCAGTAAAGAGCGAGGTCTGTACCTCCAGAAGAGCAATACCTCCTTCTATGCAGACGTATGAGAGACTTCAGAAAGGCAATACCTTCTCAAACCTTGCCTTACTCGTTCAGAGAACTTATAAGTATACTCTTTGTCAGCTCATGAAGCACAATCAAGTAAAAAGGGAAAATTTAAGTAATGTGAAATACATAATGAAGCATCAATTTTTTTGCCCCTGCAAGGTCAGCACCAGATCACTACTCTACCTGAAACTCACAGGTTTTAGTTAAAACTCTCTGCAGCCTCAATGTGCCTTTTCAGCACTGCTCAGAACTATGAACAGTTCTGCCTCGTAATTTTCCACAGCTACAGAGCAAAGAGACCCTAACCTCTTGCAAAGATTCCCGTACAACACCAACCTCTCTCAAAACACCTCACATCCTCCATTTGTTTCTCTCTCCCAAGGAGCTTTTCAAAAGCAAACCCAGTTCCCTGGATGTGCTCTGGAGGCAGTTGGGGAAGGGACACAAAGCACACTGAGGAGCTTACAGAGCTGCTGTAAGTGGTTACACCTCCTGCCTCCAGTGCAGAGCACTGCAGTAAGCTTGAGGCATAGGCATAGAAGTCTTACCCTGCCCTACATTATTCCAAACAACATCAGAAACACAGGGCAGAGTTAAACTTCTTGTGGTGGAGACCACTGAATGGCGCAAAAGCAAAGCACTGCCAGTCATCGGCAGACTTCACTCTCTCGGTACATAAATGTCTGTGTTCACTGAAACTGTTAACACTGCCTATCTCAGTTGGCCTTGCTTTTAAAACAGAAATGTTGTTACTCAGAAAACAGACTCCACCAAAAAATTGCCTTCATCACCTGATGTTACATTTAAATAAAAAGGCATTCCTGCAGGTCAGTGAAAGAAGTGCAGAGGTAACAACCTCAATCTGCGCCAGGGGACGTTTACATTGGATATTAGGAACAATTTCTTCAGAGAGGTTGATCGGGCATTGGAACAGGCTGTCCAGGGCAGTGATGGAATCACCATCCCTGGAAGTGTTCAAAAACCGTGTGGATGAGGTCCTCGGTGACACGGTTTAGTGGTGGACTTGGCAGTGCTGAGGTAATGGTTGGACTTGACAACCTTAAATGTCTTTTCTAACCGAGTTGATTCTATCATTCTATGTAAACTCTGCACAGAGAAAGACAGAATAAGCCATGAAAAAAAAAAAGTTATGGTTGTGACTGTTTTGGTTTCACTCAGGTTTTGGGCTTTGTGTTGTTTTTAACGGCAGCGCCGGTATCAGAAATCCTCAACGCAAGACCTCAGGAGCGGCCACACCCCATTGCCCCGGCTCTGCCTGGCGCCTCGCTCCCACGCAGGCAGAGGAACGCTGCGGGACGCTGACGACGGGGTGCGCCAGGCCCTGAGGCCCGGAAGGAGACCCGGGGGGGAGCACCGTCAACGCCTCGCCTCAGCCGCCGCGCGTAACGGCGGCCGTCGCCAGCGGTTACAACTAGCACCACCCACCTCCCCCATTCCCGACGGAAGTAGGCAGGGGCCGCGCGCACAGCGCGCCCGCCCGCCCCAGCATGCACCGCGAGCGCGATCACGCGCGCCGCCTGCGCCAAGCCGTCCGGGCGCCCAGGTGAGGTTCGGAGGGACCGATGCACCCCGGGAGCAGGCGGGGGGCGGCCCGGGAGGAGATGAGCGCTGGGCTTAGCCGGAGCTGGGAAAGAAGCTAGCGGCGGAGGCCGCACTCACCGGGAAGCTGCTCGCTACGGAAGCCGGGGAGGGGCCATCCTGGCAGAGGGTGGGGGGCGGAGCCTAAGGCGGGCGGCGCATGCGCTATGGCGCTACAGAGGCGCTACAGGGGCAGTTACCTCTCGGCGGCCGTGTGGACGGGATTTGTCGTTGCGCATGCGCAATACCGGCAGTTCCTCCCCTCGCCGCTTAGCCTGCGGCCGCTGTCCCCGTCCGAGGTGGCCGGGGCCTGAGGCTGTGGCGTTGATGGCGAAGGTGCGGTCGTCGACATGTCCTGCCGTCCTCTTCCTCTGCATTCGCCTCAGCGTATTTAATATAAAATCCTGAACCTGTACGAGAACTCCGCCGCGTTTGCAAGTATCATTTCAGCACAAATCATAACCTTGCTTCCCTCACGAGCGGGAGCAGGGCCTGCTCAGGGTTGCTGAGGAAGGTGTTTCTGGACGTATCGTAACCATATTAAAGGTTTCTTCTATTCAGGCATTATTCTTCACAACCGGTAAGCCTCCAGCCTCCTGCCAGCTGCTGCACTGGTTTGTATCACACACCATAAACAAGCTTGAGCTATGTGAATGAACACACAATCCCTAGTTATGACATTTTGTCCACTAAATCCTTAAGTGCTTTCCAAAGGCACCATCTCCATAGCCTAAAGAGTCTGCAGAAGTGTATTAAGTAAGGAGGATAACAAATGTATTAAATGGTCAGGATAATTGGAAAGTGCTTGCAAGTGGTTTGGCAGAGTAGCAAGTGCTGTTTCTTACAAGTGCCAAGTGACAGCTTTTTTACTGTTGGAGAGGTATGTGACAAGTTTGAAGTACCCCATCATGGCAAACTCTACAGCCAATTCCTTTTAAAAGTAAGGCTAGGAAAAGGGTATGTGAGAGGCGACCAGGCTTATGCTGTACAGGCAGGCGGATGCTCAGCCATTGCCAGTTTAGGTCAGATGCAGCATTCCTAAAGTAAAAGCACATCTGGAGTGATTCGAAGAGCAGTTGCTGTGAATCAGGTGTAGTGTGGCTTTGTGCAGGATGCAGCCCTGGAACTGGCAGTCCCACCAGCTTCCAGGCTTTATGAGGAAGGAGCACTTTTTCTGTTTGTGCTCCTGGAAACAAGGCAAAAAAGGAAAATAAAAAGTCTTTTTATGGCCCCTGGGGAGCAGGAAGAGCACGAAGCAGTGAATTCAGGCCAGCGACCTGTACCAGGTTATTTTTATGCATGCTCTGATCACCCTGCTGAGTTCCCAGGTCCCCTTGCCGATGGGGTCAGAGCCTGGGTTACCTTCAGTTTCTGGGTGCCACCGCGTGGTGTGACAGCTAACTGCAGCTGTCTCTGCAGCGGGTGTATGCAGTGTGTGCATGTAGCAGGCGCGGGCGGCCCCTCCTATGCATGCAGGGCAGTCTGGAACCACCAGAGCTTTGAGGCTGCTGAGCCACAGAGGGGGATGGCAGCCCAGAGCTGTGCTTACTGCCTCTTCCTGGACCTCACTGCCTTCATCTGCTGTCAGATACGTGCACGGTTTCTGGCTTTGTGCCCTGGGAAACTCCGAGACGCCCTTCCTAACTTGGCTTTGCTCCCTTTTTGTTCTTCCAGGCTGGGACGGGGTGAAATGGCAGCCTCTTCCTCATCCTCCTCAGCTGGTGGAGTCAGCGGCAGCTCTGTAACAGGATCAGGGTTCAGCGTTTCGGACCTGACACCGCCCCGAAAAGCCCTCTTCACTTACCCCAAAGGAGCCGGAGAGATGCTGGAAGGTGATTGCTCCTGCATTTCTCCTTCCTTGCTGCTCCTGGTGTGCAGGCAGCCCTGCAAAGGAGTTGCTGAACTTGGCATCCTGCTGCCTTTTCAGACTTTAGCTGGCAAAAGCTGAAGGGAGGGAGGAAGGAAGCACCAGGGCTCGGGTAGGTCCTGAGCAGCCCTGGCTCTCCCACCAGTTGTTCATGAGGAAGTGATTTTTCTGGCAGTCGCCTGTTTTTTAGCTCCATGACACTTCAGATGAGGAAGCAATCTACCTGAAAGGGAACATGACAGTGTTAATTGCTCATTGTTAGCTAATCCTTTGATGTTGGGCAGGAATTACTATAAAGATAGCTGAAGTAGGAGTATTTTTCTTGGCAAAATGCGTTCTCATGTTGGATTTGACTGGGCTAGTATAGAAGGCATCTTGTATCCCTTCTGGCCAGGAAACACAGGGCTTACTTTTGCCCTCGACCCAAATAAAACCTTGCCACAGAGGTCTGCAACAGGATAAATCAGGACTAGACATTTCCTTTAATCCTTCAAGGCTGAGCATGTTCCCCATTCAGGCTCAGTTTTGTCGGAGTATTTCTGCAGGGCCGCCTGGAGAGAGCTGGGGCTCTGATCCAGCACTGCCTCTGACGTTTGGGTGCCTGAGCCTGCCACCCTCCTCAACAGGGCTGCCTGAAGGAGGACCCAGACACATGCAGCTGCATGTCCCTGCCCCTGCTCTGGGTGAGGGAGGAAGGGCAGGTCCTCCAGATGACAGGGTTAAGCCAGGGTCTGTCTGTCTGCCAGCTCCCCTTGAACTTCCTGTGTCACTATGCTACACACTTGACTGTGTGAGCCTGAGGTTCATGGTGTGGCTGGGACCAGGGCTTGGGTGGCCCTGCATCTCAGAAGTGACACAGCAGTCCAGGGCAGCTGGGAACCGATCACTACATCATTTAAGGACTGTTTTTATTACACATTACACAGTACTGTGATACTGTGATACTGTGATACATTAGAGGACATATGCCAGTCTATTGAAGTAATTATGACTGAAGGCTTGCTCATAGAACTTAACGAGCCCTCAAAATAATGAAACACTTCACATTACCAAATAGGCAGCTACAGAGCCACTCTGCAGGACAGCCAGGCTGTGGAGTCAGAGGAGAGGGAAGTGTATGTCTGGAAATAGCACAGGGCAGCACCAACATAGCATTTCAGCAGCTTGCGAGAGGATGCTCTGAGCACAAAAGCCCAGCTTATCCCTCCTACCTGGGATTCAGATTTTTCAGGGACAGAGATCTGTTTCTGCCCTTAGTGTTTGAAATTGCTTCTCCCGTCATTTTTGTGGCATGGAGCTTTTAATAGATTTTGCTTTGGGTTGACCTCTTTACCAGTAACACAGCAGTTTGTCTGCTCTGGCTGGCACCAGCAACTAAACACTCTCCCCGTCACAAGAAGCTTTAGGTTGGGTTTTTAATGTCTGAGATAAAAGGTGATACACCAATTCTTTCATCTGGTGGGTACTAGAGGGTAGCTGCATATCAGTTTCTTGTTCAAAATCCTCACTGACTGATTTTTACTGTTACGTTAACTTGCTTGTTTTTACGTAAACCCTCAGGTATTTTAGGATGTTTATTAGAAGGGAGGAGTGTAAACTCTATCAGTACTTGGCACACAGTTCGCTATGTATTCCAGATTGCTTTATTTCTGGGACAACTGTGTGATCAATTACTGACTTAGATGGCAGGAGATACACATTATTTGAAATCCTTTATACACGGTTATGGTCTAAGTCTGTGGGAAATCATAAAGCATTACAAGGACAGAAGCGTCTGAGCCCCGAGGGAACCAGAGACTGCCATAGTATTAGCTGGCTTCTCCTTAGCTTACCTTCTATTTAAAATGGGCTAAAATTGCTTGACAGAATATCAGCTGGGATGCCTCCCAGGTGTCACAGCCATTCCCCAGCCACACTGGGAGCCGGCCAAAGCCGTGCACAAGATTTTAGCACAGGGTCACAAGGGCTTGAAACCAAAGCAATGCGTGCTCAGTGGAGGGCAAAGTGTTGGAACGAGGCAAGTAGGGAAACCCACAGCTCTGACATAAAAATAGAAGGTTGGTGACACTCAGTTAAGGCTGCTCAGTCTTAAAACTCTCAGATTAAACCACCTCCCTTTTTCTGTTTACAGATGGCTCCGAAAGATTCCTCTGTGAATCTGTTTTCAGCTATCAGGTTGCATCTACATTAAAGCAAGTGAAACACGGTAAGCACTGCAGCGCCGTCTATTTTAACTGCATGTTGACCAGGAAAGATGGCAGGGGAACACAGAGAAAAGGCTGACATGTTCTCAGGTGCTGACCACAAAAAAGCAGAATAGCCTTTTAAGTTGGCAAATTAAGGCGAAGTCAGGCCATCATCAAGTCCTTTTGCAAGCCCTATGCAAAGCAAGGAGAACCCACACAGCCTGGGTGGGAACAGGCCGTGCCTTTCGAAGGTTGTTTTTCCATCTCTCTGTACCGCGCTGCCTTCGCGAGAGGTGAGGCCAGCAGGGGAGGTTATGGGCAGGAAACACCCACACTCTGATCTTGGCCCAGCACTGACTGTCTCTATGGCCCCAGGCACACAGACACTTGATTCCACCTTTGGTTCTCTGCCCAGCCTGAGCCCTTGTGACACCAGCAGGGTCAAGCCAGGTTTCCAAAGGTGCTCAGGAGATGGACACGCAGATGCCTGGTGTGGCGTGATGGGGCTGACTCCACTCCCTACCTCCCCAAGGAAGAGCCTTACATCTTGTTTGAACTGCTTCCCTCCTGGGGCTTTTGACTAGCTGCCTGTAACTGAATGATGAACTTGACTGCACAACAACTTTCATTCTCAAGTTACTGAGCAGAGCTCAGCACCAGCTTGTGTCTGCTGCAAGAGGGTCACATCCTTTCTGGTCCCCACCTCTTTTCAGCTAGAATGGGTACTTCCATGTGTTGTCTCAGACCAGCAAGTTTTCCTGTCCTCCACCAGCAAGGGTTGTCAGGAGGAGGTCTGGGAATGTGCAGCAGCCTGCAAGTCTGTGCTCCTGTATTTCTGAACCATAAGACAAAGCCAAGCTTCAAAGCTATTGTTTCCACAGCCCTGGTGCTACTGCGGCTGTAACTACCAGGGGCTGCTGCACAGACTGGCACCCTGATAATCACCAGCCTTTGAAATTCATTTATGGAGCACCAGTCCCCTCCCCATAAGAAAGGGGAAAGGCTTAAAAAAAGATTAAGGTCATCATTTTTTGGCTTGTTTGTTTGACAGTTCCCAGAAGCACTCGGCTGCAGGAGGTGGAGTGAGAACAGTCCCACTTAAAAGCACCCACTGCTGCAGTCAGCATAAATCATGCACATTTCAAGTTACGCCTCTTGCTAGCAAGTCAGCTGTGCTGGGCCATTCTTCCAAGAGACTGCTGTGGTGTTAAACTTTGAGCAGAGCCAAAAGAAGAAGGGGCTGTTCTCATCTCCCTACCATGGCAGGCAATTTGACTGAAAATTGAGCCTGCATACCCAACACACAACTGGTTTTAAATAAAGCTAAGAGGAAGAAGATGTCTTGGGGATCCCCAGGGAGGCATCCTGTCTCTCCATAGGGACCTTTATGTCATTAGCATGCTTTGATTGCAGAGCCTTTCTGCTGGAGTCATCCAGGCCCTCCTCAAAGGACCTTCATTAAAATGAGGAGTTCCTTGTGCTGCACCCAGCTCTACCGTGTGCTGACCAAGCTCTCTCTGAACTTCTCTGTTCTTTTGCACTATAAATATTTATGCTAAAGAAATGAGCTTCATCCTGTTCTCACCCCCATACGCTAATCAACCTCGTGTTTCCCTGTTAGGACTTGAATTCAGATGGCACGGGCAGGGATGGGTAAATACACACTGAGCACCGGACAAGGCAGAAAAGCCTGTCCCTGCTTTCTCCTGAGGTCTCACCGTTTGCACAGGGCGTTGTGTAGAGTGGGTTTGTATTCAGATTGGCTCGGTGGGTTTTATTCTGCTCTGCTCCCCACTGGCAGCTGGGAATTTGCATCTAATTGAAAGGTTTAATTGCACTGTCATTGCAAACCACAGTTACCTTTGAACTTCTTGCAGATCAACAAGTCGCACGGATGGAAAAACTAGCCGGTTTGGTGGAAGAGCTGGAGGCAGATGAGTGGAGGTACAAGCCAATAGAGCAGCTCCTGGGATTCACTCCCTCCTCGGGCTGAGTGTGTCTTGGATTGCTGCTGTCAGGGAGCAGAAGTAAAACATTCTCTGGCCTGGCTTCAAAAACACCCCCCCATTTATTAAGATGCTGACAGCTGCATCAGCAGGACTGGGTTCTTGTTGTGTTTTTCTTAAGCTGAGAGTAGGGATCCCCCATAAAGCTGCCAGTAAATGGAAATGACGGGATTCTCCAAGTCTTCTGCAGTGTTACGGGCTGGCGGGGCTCAGTTTCTGTAACTTACAAGGTAGGATCAGTTTCACAGAACTTGGAGAATCCCCTTATTGCTCATGGAGAAGGGAAGATTTACAGTGGGGGGGGGGGGGGGGGGAAAGCAACCCAGAAACTTGGCCTGGCCTTTCCCTCTGCGTGGCTGAAGGACCGGGTGATTGGTGAGCTGGGAAGCTCGTGTCCTTGTTGCTCGAGCCAGGCCTCTGTAGAGCACAGGTAGGCCATCCTGCCAAAAACACTCTTCACCCCTAGCCATTGTTTTGGGGGATGAACAGGACAGGAACTGTCCCAGGCTGGTTAAGAGGGGGCAAGTGGTGATGCTTTCTGCAGAGCCACCGCATGTATCACTGGAGCTGTTTTCTCTCTTGCTGTTTCCCTTGTGTCTGCACAACAAGTGCTGGTAGGACACTGCTCTCTAATGCAGAAGCTGTATCTTTAATACCCTGAAACTCTTTTTTCTCTTTGTTACATATTAGATTGCTCTGTGATAATAAAAGAATTGTGTCTTTGAAACCGTTCATCTTTTCAAAGCTTGTGCAGGGGGGTCTGATGAAAGAAACAGTCAGCTGTTCCATAGGTAATGGGAGGTTTAATGAAGCTCAGAAGCAGCTTGGCTGTTACAATGGTCAGCTTAAGTTCAAATTAAAAGAAACCCTCTGAGAGGAACCAAACCACGCTTGCTTTGTGCTCAAAAGTGGATTGATTTAAATCAGATTTTAATCCTTGTTTAGCTCTGCCAGCAGAAACCCCTTATTTAAATCCATCCGTTTTAATCATCTTGTTTTCATTTGTACTT